GCAGATGAAGGCTTCTGGCAATGTGGACACTTGAGGGAACAAGGGCTAGATGCCAAGCACTCGATGGCCTTCATCCGAGATAAGAAGGCGGAGTCAATGGTGGCAAGAGCTTGGTGAGATGTAACCGGTCATTGTCATAAAGGTGGTCAGAGTCATCGGCAGTGGATGAGGGGACTCGGCGGCCATTATTGAGGTAGGCCACCCTCGGGCAGAGCATAGAGGGAAGCAAAAGCTGTCACCCTCCCTCCAAATCCACGAGAGAAACGGGGTGGCGGCTATACGAGAGGCGAACAACAGCGACAACGGAAAGTAGTCTATGGAGATGGTGCCCTGGCGGCAGCTCCAGATCTGCACGGGTGACGGGGCTTCAGTGGAGTTTGCCGGTGTGGAGTGGTTGGTGCGGGTAGGAAGCCGACGACATCAACAAGATGGTGCACCAGAGACCATGCGAGGATGGGGTTGTCAGCATAAGAGGGAAAATAAGGAGAAAGAGAAAGAGAAAGAATAAGGCAAGTAGGGGCATTTTTGACCTTTCGTGTTGTGTCCAGCAGCAAATAACCACACATTTTGACTATGTCTTTTCCCAAAGATTGATTTTTTTTATCCTAGAACTAAAATCACAAAGTCAAGTGAGCAATGTCCTACATCAAAATTTGTCAATCATAAAATACTATAGCCCAAACCAAATACAACGTGATATTTATTAATTCCGAATTTGAAGAACCAACAAGTTTTGTTTGTTTCTATACCAGGTTTTCTTTAATTTCAAATGATTTTTAAAATCAGAAATAAACTGCATTGCATCCGTATCAGAATACTCCATCCATCTTTAAAAACAACTGAAAAAACCTCTCTTTCTCTTATATTTGAAAAGCGCAAATGAAGGATAACTGTGCGTTACTTATTCCATCTCAAAATATAAGGCATAATTATTTTTTTCCATATCTCAGCCATGCACTCTTGATTATTTGAATTTGATTTATTTTAAATCTTCTATTATTAAGCCTCCCAATCACATGTATGTATGGATGTGATTTAGTCGGTGATTAATTTTTTTTATCTTTGTGTTATAAGTGTTTAAGTTTTATATTTTGAGATAATTTAGCCTTATATATAAAGTAATGGGGCATGAGTCATAACCCTCGTCTTGTTCCTTCCTCCGCTCACACGACCACCCAGTCAAACTACTAGAGAGAGCAAGCCATGGATTCCGGCAGGTGGATCTCCGCCATGGTCAGTTCGGTGGGTTGGAAAGCTGGTGATCCAGTCCTCAGGAGGTATGGGCATGCCACAATTCAGGCTTACCGCCGGACTCTTCATGTCAGACTGCTTTGGCTTGTGGACAATGGGCCATGGCTGCACCTCTCAAATCTCACCACCACCGATTATGGACTTGCGAGTTTTTGGCTATACGAGCTCAAGAAAGCACTGACGGATGCGGACGCCCTGCTGGAGAACTGGAGGTGTGAGATCCTGCGAGCGGAGAGTATCGGAAGCCGCGGCACAGCCACAAAGGTACGGCGGACCTTCTCTGGTGTCCTGGATCCCCTCAAGGTTATTCCTCGTCATAGCAAGGAATTCGACGTGGCGCTACAGGAGGAGCTGGCGGATGTGGTTCACAGAGTTAACAGAGTTATGAGCGCTATAGAAGAAATGGACGAGATCTTTCCGCCCATACTCAATTCGTCGCTCCGATTGAGGGAGCACCTCCGTCCCCCCCCCCCCGGATTTTTTAGGTGAAATTAGTCCAGTTGGAAGGGACAAGGATGCGTCATCAGTCATTCAAATGCTAATTGGTTGCGAAGATGAAGATCTGCAGTTTGTCTCAATAGTGGGGATGGGTGGGATTGGGAAGACCACGCTAGCTCAGATGGTCTACGACGACGATATAGTTCAGCAGCACTTCCCTGTGCGTTTGTGGGTGACGGTCTCTGAAGACTTCGATACCACTACAATTTTGCAAGGGATTGTTGGTCCATCAATCCAGGGTACGTCTTTGTTGCAGCTCCATGTCCGAGAAGTTCTCTGTGGGAAGCAGTTTCTGCTTGTATTGGATGGTGTTTCCCGTTTCAATGCAGAAAAATGGGACAGGCTGAAAATTTCCCTTGAATGCTGTGGCCTTGGAAGTGCTGTTCTTATGACGACCCGAAGTGAGAATAAATCTAGCACCTCTCGTGCTTATTACCTGGGAAAACTGGCTGATGAATATGTCTGGTCTATTGCAAAGCAGATAGCATTTGTCAAAGAAGAAGAAGGCCAAGACCTTGTCCACATAAAAGAGGCTGTTGTTACCATTAGTGATGGAATACCTCTTTCTGCTGCTATCCTGGGGGGTTTACTACGTTCAAGACTATATTGTGAGTTGGATGATTGGCTTGTTTCATGGGCAGATGCATGCGAGGAGAGATCAGTTTGGAGGATAGAGCTTCATGGAGAATGGTGTCAAAGTGATGCACAAAGAGAAGATATTGTCTTTCTTGCCATTGAGTTAAGTTACAAGCACTTACCTGCATGTATTAAAGGATGCTTCGCCTTTTGTTCATTATTCCCAAGGACTCACAAGATAGACAAGGATATGTTAATTCAATTATGGATGGCTAACGATCTGATCCCATATGATGATGCTATGGATCTGGAAGCAAAGGGTTCCTGGATTTTTGATGAACTTGTCTCAAGGTGCTTCTTTCAGGTCACCAAGCGTGCTCAACCATCTCAGAGTAATAGGACAAAATGGAGGATGCATGATCTTGTCCATGATACTGCAGTTTTGATTTCAAACGTTGAGTTTACTACCGTCCTATCCTCTGTAATGTTTGGAAGTCCCCATGTTCAAAGTCTCCATCACATGTCAATAGTCAGCTGCAGAAATAAAGTTACTTGCATTCCTCTGCTTCCTGCTCCAAATCTCCCTAACCTACGCACACTACTATCACTAGAAGAACAATATCCTTTGTATGAATGGAATGTTGATTTCTCAAAATGCAAGTCCTTGAGAGTATTAGACCTACATGGTTTCCATTCTTCTCAAGTAATGTTACCGTCCAGGTTTTTGGAGCATCTTCGGTATCTTGACCTCTCCAACAGTTGGATCACATCTATTCCAGATGATGTTGTATATCTCTACAATCTGCAAACTCTAAGACTCTCAGAGTGTTGTTACTTGAAACAGCTCCCAAAAGACTTGAGAAAAATGAAAAGCCTTAGGAATCTCTACCTTGATGGATGTTTTCGGCTTGAGAATGTTCCCCTTAATCTTGGACAGTTAAAAGACCTGCATATACTTACAACTTTCATAGTAGGCACTGATGATGGTTGTGGAATTGGACAGCTAAAAGGCCTGAACCTTGAGGGCCAGTTAGAGATATATAATCTGAAGAATGTCAAGAGGATTGAAGATGTGAAGGGTGTGAACCTTCATACAAAAGAAAATTTGCGTCATCTAACTTTATGTTGGGGCAAGTTCAGGGATGGAAGTATGCTGGCTGAAAATGCCAATGAAGTATTGGAAGCTCTTCAACCTCCTAAGAGGTTACAGTCTCTCAAAATATGGCGATACACGGGCCTAGTTTTCCCTCGATGGATTGCAAAAACTTCGTCACTACAGAATCTAGTCAAACTCTTTCTGGTAAATTGTGATCAGTGCCAAAAGCTTCCCGCAATATGGTGCCTTAAAACACTTGAGCTTCTATGCCTAGATCAGATGAAATGCATTGAATACATATGCAACTATGATACAGTTGATGCGGAAGAATGCTACGACATCTCACAAGCTTTCCCAAAGTTGAGGGAGATGACGTTACTAAACATGCAAAGTTTGAAGGGATGGCAAGAAGTTGGAAGATCTGAAATTATTACTCTGCCTCAGCTAGAAGAGATGACAGTGATTAACTGTCCAATGTTCAAGATGATGCCGGCCACTCCGGTGCTCAAGCATTTCATGGTAGAAGGAGAACCAAAGCTATGTTCAAGCTATGTTCTTTAGCGATGTTCAAAACTTCAGAAAATCTAATGTTGTTTTGGTTGATGCCCTGTTTTCGCACTCTCAAATTTTTGATAGTGTAGAGTTAGAAACATGAATTTTTTTTTAAGGTTCACCAAGTTTGTTTTGAATCGTCACATGCAACGATGCTTCCTTATTTAAAAGTTCTCCCTCGTCTCACAGAAAAACTTTATTTTTGCATTATTTATTTGTCCCGCATAGACAGGCGAAAAATGAGTAAGGTAGGGGATGTCGTGGCAGCAACAGCTGGCGGGACTTTTATCGTAATCATGGCAATGATAATTTTTTATTTTGTTAGACGTCGATGACAACAAAGAAAGACAACACTGGCGGACAAGTGGATAGATGACAAAGGAGCAAGGAGACGGTAATTACCATGGTGAGCGAGCCAAGGAACAACAAAGGAGTATAGTGGCGGCGACGTCTAAAAACCATATAAAATGGGAGCCCAACGATAATAAGATTCAATTTTTATAAGGTGCCGACGAAAATAAAGATAAGAATATATGGGTAGGAGGCTAAATTGATGGGTGGCAAAGGAGCAGGGAGACGACGGTTCCCATGAGAGAGAAAGTCGAGGGGTGGCAAATGGCAATAAATGGGAGGGGCATGGGTCGGCTGGAAAGTAATACAATAACAACATTTAATGAGACTTATAAAAACTATTAAAAGGAACCAGATGAGACAACAAAAACTATAATGACCGATATTTTAAAGGTCACAAGGAGAATGGATAGAAGATGTGACATGTCGAACAAGCAAATAAATGGGTGGCATAAGAATAAGAGGGTGACGGATGATGTAACTTTTATAAAAACTATAAAATTGGAAATCCGGTGATGATAAGGTTCAATCTTCTAAAATCCTAAGACAACGAGATGACCACCTAACAAACTTCAAATAAAATCATGTGTACGAATTTTGTATATGTGCTAGTCATGTAATTGCGCGGACCATCCTGCTAGTTTGTTTTAATGAACATAAGGAACAAAGTTGTTGGTAATACCAAAATTTTGGTTAGGCAACATTTGAATGAGGGCATTTGATTTGCCTAATCACTTACAAAGAAATTCACTATAAAATGGCTTTCAGCCTGAGAGTTGTATACTATAGGAAGGGGCTTGATCACTAAAAAATAGTAGGAATTAAGTATGTGTGTAACTTTACAGATTGACATGGATTTATCCCCGCAAGAATCAGTGATTAATCTAAGGCCGGTCACAGTGCAAGGACGTGGCGTGTTACTTCCTTTGCCAGTCCGAAATCTGCTAATGTGTCGCGCGCGGTCGCAATCAAAGATGGCGACTCGCTCCCATGCAGGATGCGGAGAACTTCGCTCGGTCTGGGTAACGCACGGCGCCAATCACCCTGATTCCGTGCGCTGTGGAGGGCATGCCTCCGACGCCCCGTAACCTCGCGCCGCGCGTGGAGACGCAAAGTAGATCACTGCACTGTGGGATGAGGTTGCTTGGGCCAATTTCTGAGTTGCCCAGCCGCTAGAGAAACTCTTCGAGGGGCTTGGTAAAAGGCCTAAGAAATCAAGTCACAAGCTCAATCTTTTAACTTCAGCAACAAAAGAGAATTTATTTGTAACTCTGAACTGATCTGAATTCTGAAACTCTCAGCTGTTATGTGCCGGCTGCAATTTGGGGCTAGTTCTCGATGATGAGCTTGGCGCGGGCGTGGCCGGCCTCGACTCTGTACTGGTCACCCATGCCGAAGTGCGCCATGAGCAGCCACACGACGGTGAGCAGCTCGCCGCCCTGGCTGAGCTGCTTGGCGTGGAAGTTGCCCCTGCACTTGCCGGCGGCGTAGCACAGCATCTCCACCCACACGCCGGCCACCAGCCGCCACCGCTTCCGCCGCTCCAGCCGCCGCAGCTGCTCCGCCAGCCTGCACGCGTCGAACAGCACCGACTTGCTCCGGTCCCCCTTCACCTCCCGCGGGTTGATCTCCGTCTTCACCTTCGTCAGCGCCTCCGCCGCCTTCCTCGCTGCCCCGAGCTCGTCCCCCCGGAGGAAGAAGTTCTTGGTCTCCGCGCACGTGTCCCCGAACCGGATCTGCCCGATGCTCGCCGTCAGCATGAACGGCCGCATCACCAGCAGGAACAGCATGTAGTTGGAGATCTCCCTGCTCGCCGCCGGCAGGTGCGACACGTCGTTCAGGTGGCTGTCGTCCGCCGTGGGGGCGTGGTCGGAGCAGGAGCAGAAGCAGCAAGATGACCACCGCTTCAGCTTCCTCTCGCCGGCGTCGCGGCCGTCGTCGTCGTCGTCGTCGTAGAAGCAGAGGTCGGTGGCGATGTGCCAGAGGATGATGCTCTCGTCGAACTCCACCTCGACGCTGGCCCCGAGCTCCTGGTAGCACCCCATCCGGTGGAGGAACCACTGGCCGCGGTGGTCGCCGAACCGCCGGTAGCTCATCGGGTCCGCCGTGCTGTTGGCCTTCTCCTTGAGCTGCTTGAAGACGAGCTGCTTGAGCACCATGGAGACGCCGATGTGGTGGGTGTACCAGATACTGTCCCAGATCGTCTTCACGCGGACATTGTAGTCCCACTCGAGCTTCTCGAGCGCTCCGGTGAGCCATGTCGGCTTGTCCTTGAGGCAGTAGTGGATGAGGTTGTACTGCGCCATCTGGTTCGACCACCGCGGCCTCGCCTCCGGCAAGAAGTAGCTCACCGCCCGGAACACCCCGCTCGCCACGGGGAGGCACTTGTCCTTCTTCCGCAGGTCGGCGAAGCTCCATGGCGAGATGGCCATGAGGAGGATGGCGTAGATCTCCAAGAAGATGGCGCCGCCGAGGAGCACGTAGGAGACGGTGACGTCAACCGGCTTGTAGGGAGCCTTGTCGGTGCCGGAGAAGACGATGAGGGAGAGGACGGGCGCGGCGAGGGTGAAGATGCGGAGGTAGCGGCCGGTCGGGCCATGGATGACGGAGGATTTGGAGTGGAGCGACTCGTACATGAGCAGGAGCTCGATCTCGACCACCTTATACGCCTGATCTCGCTGGAGGCGGCGGAAGAAGGCGAGGCTGTCGGTTCGGTCCTGGAAGCTAAGGATGAGGTCGACGAAGAGGCGGCGGAAGGTGTGGAAGAACCGGTGCGCCTTGACGACGAGCTCGCCGTACTCCATGTGCTCCTCCTGGACATGGATGTTGTCGTCGGGGGGGCGCTCCGGGACGATGACGATCTCGGCGTGCAGGCCGGCCTCCTTGCTGGAGTGGTACTCCTCCATGAACTTGGCGTAGTTCGGGCCAGGGTCGGGGCGCGTCAGCATGGAGCTCCGGAGGCTGCTCATGCTCGCCGACTTGAGCGCCCATGTCCGCTCGCCGTACTTGACGACGCCGGAGACGAACATGAGGATGGCCGGGACGAGGAGGCCCGCGGCGGAGGGGCGCGACTTCCAGTAGACGTAGAGGGCGAGGGCGATCTGGGAGACGAGGCTGAGGAGGTGGCGGAGCCAGAGCTCGTTGTCCTCGATGGCGAATGCGGTGATGGTGTCCTGCCCGCCGAGGTGGAGGATGAGGAAGGGCGCCCAGAAGACGAGGAGGTGCATGTCGCCGCCGCCGTGGGGGCCGTTGCTGCAGAGCTTCTGGTTCTGGGAGAGGTTGCCGAGGGCGTAGATGGCGATGGAGTCGGCGAGGAGGTAGGCGAGCCAGAGCATGAAATGGAGCCAGGCGGCGACGTTGCGCTTGCGGAGGCCGCCGGTGAAGAGGAGGAAGACCTGCAGCGAGAGGCTGCTCAGCAGAAGCACCCGGATCTCCCACTCCCCCCACAGCCGCCGCAGGCCCGCCATCTGGCCGCCTCTTCTCTCGTCGTCGGCGGCGGCAGCTGCTGCTCTGCTCTGCCCGGAGTCGGAGGCGGAGGCGGAGGCGGAGCTTGACTCCAGTGGAGGCAGGTCGCCGTTGACTCGTTGACAAGTCGTCGGCTCGTCGTCGCCACTCGCCATGGATGCGGTGATCAGATGGGCCCGATCAGACGCGAGCGCCAGTTTGTACGGCCCACTATGAAATGGGCCAACACATGGATGTGATTTCCCACTCTCACCTCCCCATCTGCTGCCCGACCCATGCAGTGGCAACGCACCGCAGCGGAACGGATATTGCGGTTGGAAAAAAGTACAATTTGGCTCCCTTCAATATAGGTTTGGGCTGTGTAAAGTTCCACCGGCAAAAAAAAAAAAACATTGCTACGTCATATCAGATATATGGACACACATTTGAAGTATTAAACGTAGATTAATAACAAAACAAATTACATAATCCGTATGTAAACTGCGAGATGAATTTATTAAGCCTAATTAATCAGTCATTAGCAAATGTTTACTGTAGCACCACATTGTCAGATCATGACATAATTAAGCTTAAAAGATTCGTCTCGCAATTTACACCCAAACTGTGTAATTGTTTTTTTTCGTCCACATTTAATACTTTGTACATGCGTTCAAATGTTCTACGTGGCGAGGCAAAAAAAATTGTCGGTAGATCCGGAGGTGCCCGGGATGCAGAAGGATGCGGCTTCCCTGTTCTGACTATGTGTTCCTATCTCTGTCCCCTGCCAGGTGTCCTCGCTCTATTGGTGATCGCTTTTCCAGCGGGCCCAAGGCCTTACGCTCCTTTTTTTTCATCTAAATGGCTTAACCTCTCCGTTTCTTTTTGAAGCAAACAACAGCAATCTCCGTTTTCTTTCCCTAATTCCCTTACACTGCAGCGGCATGCCCTAGGCGGGGCAATTGGGTAGGCAAGGCAATTCTAGTGCTTGCCATTGCCATCGATGGGCAATATGCGTGTGCAGGACGGCTGCTTACCGGTGAAATTGTAGGAGATGTGAAGTTCCTAAGCAGGGGGAGGCCGCACGGCCTCCAGCACGGTGCCCGAGAGGTGGTTGTGCGCGACATCGAGCTACTCCACCTTCTGCATCCTGGGCACCTCTGGTGGGAGCGGGCCAGCGAGGGAGTTGAAGCTGACGTTGAAGAATGTGACCTCCCATAGCATCCATCCCGACCTCGAGCGGGTGACACAGAAGTTGAGGCCATTAATTGTTGATTTGTTGATGAGGAGGATATCGTTGTTGGAGAGGACGATGAGGGAGACAAGGGTAGCCAGGCATGGTTCGACCATTCCTGCAATCAATTTCAGGTAATACTTAAGAATTTAAGATGATATGCGCTAGGAAACTAAAAGAATCACATGAGCAAGGAAACTAAAAGAATCACATGAGCAAGTGATCTCGCCAGAGAAATCGTGGCGTTCGAGCGTTCGGTGGGGGAGTGAGCGTCTTCGAAATTTCCTGGGTGCTAGGATTTATTTTTACTTCATGGATCCATAGCGGCGGTGGGTGCATCTCTGCCACTCTCCGTGCTGTCACCGCGCTTGCTCAGAAACGAGCCATCCCGGATGTTAACGTCGTTTACGTTAAAAAAGAAAACGAGCGCATGGCCTGGGTCCACTAGAAAAGCAGCAGCCAATAGAGGGAGGACATCTTGCAGGGGACAGGGAGGGGAACATAACATAGGAACAGGGAAGCCGCATCCCAATGTTTGACCGTCCGTCTTATTTGAAAAAGTTATGAAAAAAAATAAAAAGATAAGTTACGCATAAAGTATTAATTATGTTTTATCATCTAACAACAATAAAAATACTAATTATAAAAAAATTTCATATAAGACGGACAGTCAAACGTTGGCATGAAAACCCAGAGTTTGCCTTTTTTTTTTGGACGAAGGGAGTAGACTGTTTCCTATTGCGGTTTGGTTGTGATCTAGCCAGGTTGAGACAGCATTATATTTTTGAGATTGAAAAAATCACCACACATGTCTCACTATCGACTTGTATATTATCTATCGCTGAAGAAATAATTAGTCGTAAATGATAACACTAATGAAAGTCTAAAATTTAAACCCGAACGATCATGTTTCAAAACAAGGGACCTTGCCAGGTGAACTACGTTCCGCTACACTTCTAAAATCTCAACACCCTTAGACCTTATATTTTACCGTTATTCAATTAATAACAAATAATACCACCTTTATTAATTCTTGAACTGAAATGTCTTGCCTGGAAAAAGAAAACACGGTCATTCTAGGTTCCGTGGACCTGACATGGAGAGAGTTTTCCTTTCCCGAGACGGTAGAGTAGAGTTACTACCCCTGTCAAAAAAAAAATTAAACCCTGAGTTTAAATCTCAAACTTCACGCTAAAATTAGATGTTTGGTTGAAATTAAAACGATGTGACGGAAAAATTGAAAGTTTGTGTGTGGTCTGGTTTAGTTCCCAATTTTTTCTTCAAACTTTCAATTTCCCATCACATCAAAACTTTCCTACACACATAAACTTTCAATTTTTCCGTCACATCGTTCCAATTTCAATTAAACTTTCAATTTTGACGTGAACTAATAAATACACCATGTGTAGAAAAGTTTTGATGTGATAGAAAAATTAGAAGTTTGAAGAAAAACTTTGGATCTGAACTCGGCCAAAGTAGTACTCCCTCCGTTTCACAATGTAAGTCATTCTAGCATTTCCGACATTCATACTGATGTTAATGAATTGATGTTAATGAATTTAGACATATATATCTATCTATATTTATTAACATCAATATTAATGTGAAAAATGCTAGTTTGATTTATATTGTGAAACGGATGAAGCTAGCAGTACGTAATATCACGCGTCGTATCGGTTAATTTGGAAGCTACACCCAAACTCCCAGGACGGAGACAGACGCCGCGCGCGCACGAGACGTGAGGCCCCGGGGCACGCGCGGCCACGCTCCCCGCCCGCCCAGCCACGTTCCCGGCGCGTGTCGACGCCCACGCGCTACATGGCCGCGCGCGTCTCCCCCCCCCCCCCCCCCCCCCCCTGCCCGAGGTTTTTGATTAGATTAACCCTGCGATCGCCGTAGCTTAGGTTCGTTATTAGGATACGCCAAATGATGAAGAAAGCATTCCACACAGTGTATTAAAAACTACTGCTCCTACCCATATGGCTAGCTAATTAGGGCTCGAAAGTGATAAACCTACCCCCTAAGCTGTTCGCATAAACTAATACTCCTTTCGTCCCATAATATTTAAGATATTTTTATAAAAATAATATAACATATCCTAATTCTGTCAAAATTCATAATACTATAATTTAAGACATTGTATCAAAATCCCTTATATTTCGAATAAGAGATTCATAGTAAAAACGAAATGTATCAGACGAAGAGGTATAACCATGCATGGCACAATTAATGGTGCCTCAATTTTGTTAATTAATTAGCTGATGCTGGCGCTAACCCTGAACTGAACCTATTAGATCGGGAGGTTGCATTAGTTAATTGACTGGTTTAATCTCTGTTCGTACCCAAAATATAGCAACTGGCCCCCAGAAAGTAGTACTGCACTCGCCTTGCACGTAGTACTAAGATTCCAATAATATGAAGAGAACTCATCAACAAAGGCTGATAGTGTAGTACAACCATGCATAAGGAGTAGTACAAATGATCAAATGCATATCTAGCTGTGTTATATCCGGGTGCAACGTACGTCTCTAATGGTACGTTTAATTTGGAAGAGATAATATAAAGTGTAACTAGCACTTCTGTCAAGTTGGCTCATCATACTGTGATCAACATACTGTGCCCTATATATATGGTTCGTGTGTACTGATAAGTAGTACTACTAAATTAATTAAAGAACCATATGCATGAGATAATTGATAAGTACACACACATTTTCCCCTCCCTGTTAACAACAGAGTATCTGCACCCACTTGAATCAAGATAACATAATCTATACTACAACGTAACCTTCCCCCTGCAATCACATTATTATCGCATGTAAATATATATATGGATCACTAGTTCTAGTTTTATCGATATATACTTTGGTAAACTACATATATAAATTAAGTTGTGGGTGACACTGACATCCATCATCTCTCTTTCTCTCCCCCCATTATAAATAGGGAAGTCATCTCCTTGAAGCTAGCTGGCCTAAGCTAACTCAATCAAACCTCCCTAGCTTGGCAGAATAGTTAATGTTAATCACCTGATTAAAATTAGATTAGTCCCCTCCTACCCAGCTAACTACTGCTTCTATTTCACGGAGAAAAATGTCTTCCTAGGCTTTCTCTTTCAGCTCGATCGATCCACAGCTCAGCTAGCTCTCTCTCTCTCTAGCGACAAGCAAGCATGGAGCAGCTGTTCGTCGACGACCCAGCCTTCGCGAGCAGCATGTCGTCGCTTGAGGCGGACATCTTCTCCGGCGCCGGCCAGCTGCCGTCCTCGCCGTGGCTGGACCTAGACCTCGACGACGATGTCCAAGACCTCTCCATGGCGCCGACGACGGCGAACGCGGTGTCCTCCGGCTACGGCTCCGGCGGATCCGGCTCCCACAGGAAGCTCAGCCACAACGCCTACGAGCGCGACCGCCGGAAGCAGCTCAACGAGCTCTACTCCTCCCTCCGCGCTCTCCTCCCCGACGCCGATCACACTGTAATTTAATTTACACAAAACCAATCAAATCCAGTACACCAAATTAACCATGCATATGCATGAGATCTTGATGTGATTTTGCTGCAGAAGAAGCTGAGCATCCCGACGACGGTGTCTCGCGTGCTCAAGTACATACCCGAGCTGCAGAAGCAGGTGGAGAATCTGGAGAGGAAGAAGAAGGAGCTGACGACGACGAGCACCACCAACTGCAAACCAGGAGTGTTGGGGAGCCAGCTGATGAGCGAGGGCATGGCTCCCATCGTTTCGGCTACCTGCATCAATGACATGGAGATCATGGTTCAGGTCAGCTTGTTGAGCAATGTGGCGGGTTCAGTTCTTCCTCTCTCCAAGTGTATCAAAGTACTGGAGAACGAAGGTCTTCACTTCATCAGTTCATCGACTTCCTCCGGATTTGGGAACAGGACATTCTACAGTATCCATCTTCAGGTACACATTATACACACAGCTCTATGCTAGAACGTTTAATTAATATTTCTTATGGTAATATATTTTTGAAAAGAAAATCCCTCTATACTATCTCCATTCTAAAATATAAAAACATAGAGCCCGGACAGACTGTCTATCCAGATTTGTAGTACGAGTAATTAAATGTCTCATACGATTCTATTAGGTTTTTTATATTTTAGAATGGATGGAGTATTTTCGATCAACAATAACCTAGCATCAAATCAAGGACTAGAGTCAGGTTAAGATCCGGGTAAATTAGATAAAGGGTGCTATAGTACAATCTAGTGATACTACTACTCTGCCTTAAAATAGTTTCTTTTTAGCTATTTACTCGTATATATACCACTGTTCAAGTTCATAACTAAACATATAGGTTTTTTAAGATGAAGGTAGTAGTAAATATGAGTAAATTTTATACAACTATGAGTATATTGAATAATATTATAGAACTATACTTTTATATAGCACACTGTCATAAAATTAGAGACTTAATACTACACATTTAAACCACAATAACACGAACTATATAGTTGTATATATGGCACAAATCTAGTATAGAATATATCATAGAACTACATATTTTAATAAGCCATGGATCTAGTAACACAAATTACAGATTTAAATAGTGGTAAATTTTATTAAAAGTTATATATATTCTAAAATTTCTATCGAAACAACAATGTTAGCTAGGGATCTACTATTTACAAATTACAATATACTATTTTGCAACAAATTTGATGCTAGGTCCATAGTTTTTCATAGGTGGTTTAATCTTGCAAAATTGAAAAAACTTGTGGCAAATTTGCAAATGCCCCTTTAATCTACCGTTTATGCTCATAGTTTGATGTTCAATCCATAATTATGTAATATTTTGCATAGTAACAGATGAGAGAAATTATAAGTGAATAAGATGAAATTCTACTATAATCATGAGAGATATAGTAGTCCCTGAATCGTGTGTGGAATTCATCAGCTAGTTGTTTTTAAGATTTCAATTAGAGCTGACCTTCTTATGATAAAAACCAATGTTTCTTAGTCACAAATCTCAAAATATACTTGTTAAATCGAAGATATATGAATCACATGATAATTGTAAAAATATATGTAGCGTTACTCATGATACTAATACTTGAGATAACCCTCTAAAAATACGGGATATTACATATGAAAGTTTCTCCTTGTTTGGGTTAAAATTGACAGTAGAGCATGTTTGTGTGTATATATAGCGTACAATTAGACCGTTATTTAGTTGTCATAGAAGTTCGGTGTTCTGAAAATTACTCACAGTTTTCATTTATATATATGTATCTAATGTTGAAACAGAGAAGTGAAGGAACGATCAACGAGGAGTGCCCAGCATTTTGTGAAAGGTTGGAGAAAGTCGTCAGGAACAAAGCAAAGCTTTAAGCACTAGTACCGCGCGCGCGTGCCTATGATAATCCTGAATTAATCAAGGGCCAAAATCTAGGTAAAAATGACCATGCGCAGTTGTTAAATATAGCATTTGGTTAGCTGATAATAATGATATATAAGTAGTGTGCTCGATTTATATTAACTAATTTCTATGACATATATACTATGTTGCTCGATGTAGCTTTTGTACATATTTCATGCATGACTCTCAGTGTATTAATTAATTATATTATGAGATTTGCAAAATGTTAATTTTTGCAATGCTTAACGTTGCTGGAGGAAAATCAAACCTTAAGAATATATTACTTTCGTCCGCTAATATAAGGGATTTTGACATTTTACTTGTACTGTTTGGCCATTCGTGTTATTCAAAAAAATTTAGAATTATTATTTATTTTATTTGTGACTTACTTTATTATCCAAAGTACTTTAAGCACAACTTCTCTTTTTTTATATTTGCACAATTTTTTTAAATAAGACGAGTGGTCAAACAGTGCAAACAAAATGTCAAAAATCCCTTATATTAGGGGACGGCCGGAGGGAGTAAGTATGTTTCCGGACATGCTATATATCACTCGACATATTTTAAAGAGAGATCATACGAATTTCTAATCTTAAGATCTACTTCACGACCTCCTTCTCCAGCTTTGACAAACTCTACCGAGCTCCCTAGTGGTCAATTAGCTAGGGTTGTGGAGTGGGTGGTGTTCCACGGTTTATAGGGATGCTAATTAATCTACTCCCTCCGTCCCTAAATATTTTGACGTCGTTGACTTCTAAATATGTTTAACCATTCGTCTTAATCAAAAAATTTAAGTAATTATTAATTCTTTTTCTATCCTTCGATTCAATGTTAAATATACTTTTATGTATACATATAGTTTTACATATTTCATAAAAGTTTTTTAATAAGACAAACAGTTAAACATGTTTAAAAAAGTCAACGGCGATAAATATTTAGGGACGGATGGAGTATATTTTTGCGCAAGTTATGGGAGGAAAATATGAGGACGCACATCCTGAAGAGTACTTAAAAGAAGATAATGCATGCAAATACACTGCAACCTGCATCCATGGATTAATTGGGATCTTATTTTTTCGCTTATGCTTATGCTTATCAACCAAAATTTAAATTTTCAATCTTAAATTTGGATCTAATTTTGATAGTTTTTTCATTAAAGTTTATTTTTCAGCCTTTGCTTTTAGATCGCTAAGAATACATATATAAAAGTTTTATTCACAAATTATTTTTCGTTTGTAAATATGTCGTTTGGCTTATTTCACGAATAAGCGAAACAATGACGCTCTTGGATTCTTCTCCTTAGGTACTACTCTCTCTATTCTAAAATGTGGTGTACTACTAGTATTTCATCTGAAAATTAACCGAGCACCAGCTGACAGTACTTGCACATCTACATTACAGTATGTACTAGCAGAAGTAAATGTACTTGCGCGCTCTGTACTAGCAACCAGGAGCAAGCTGATCGTACTCACATGCAACAAGTTTGTGGATAAGGCGTACTCCTACGTTTTTGCAGTTAATTAACATAAATAGGGCGAGAGAGGAGGATTAGTGTAATTATATATGCAAAGACTAAAGACCTTTCCTGCAAATATTTCTGAGGATGTCGAAGGTGTTATCAAAAAGTGTCTTTTCCATTGCAATTCCAGACTAGGCACAAATTAAATTTCGTAGGCTTTGGGGGCTTTCTGCGTGTTATGAGGACCAATAATGAGGTCTCATCCTAGCTAATTTGCTGAAATCGGCCGAGATCTTATAGCAGACCATATGGACCGCATCATAGCATGAACTATGCTTAGGTTTGGCTCTTACTTTAACCGGGTAAAGAGTTGAATCGTACCAAACATGTCACGAGCCACATCCAAATTTGATTTTTTTTTCGCAAACGTGCAAAAAAATTGCACGTCAATATATTAGAAGAAGAGAGCATAGTTTAATTACACAACACACACGGTCAGAAGGCCGTTGCCAGGGGTCAAAGAAAAAAAGAAAAAAAACAGATAAGCTACTAAGAAAGTAAAAACTCATATCGCAAGAGAGGGTGGGGTAGGGGGTCCTACTACACTCTGGCCTGCGCCAGAGGCAGCGAGTCGGAGAAGAGAGAAGAGAAGGTCATTGCGTGATCTGGAGGGAGGGGTTGAGAGAAGAGGCCGTTGTAAGCCGCAACAGCCTCAGTTGACACAGGACCCTTCTCAGACACCATTCCAAGCTTGCGCTTCAGATTGTGCTAGGCGCGTGAGGTCATGTCACTCGGGCAGGCGAGCGCGAGCTTGGCCGCAATCCTCTTGCTACTTTTCGGCACTTCTTCCACGGTGGCATGCAATTCGTGGATCCGGTGGCACTAATACAGTTTTGAGATTTCGTGGATGATTTCATCTAAATGAAGTCCAGGATCTGGTGGCGATTCTATCTATATTGAAGTCCATGACATTTATACTCTCTTTGTTTCAGACTATAAATTCATTTTGACTTTAGTCAAAGTCAAACTACTTTAAGTTTAGTTAAGTTTATAAAGAGATATAGTACTCATATTTACAGCACCAAATTAGTTTCATTAAATCAATAATTGAATATATTTATCTTGGGCTAAAATGTTACTATTTTTTCATTAAACTTAATTAAACTTAAAACAATTTAACTTTGACAAAAACCACAATGACTTATAGTCTGAAATGGAGGAAGTATCGTTTAATTTGAGACTTTGAATACTTAATTTACAAAGAAGTGTGTATTTGTGCCGTGTTTTCTCGCTCTATATATATCGCAGTTTCACCCATCTAATTAGTTGAACAGTGCGTCTTAATCTCAATCTCCATTCGCCAATTGACTGTACATGTCTGAATGGAATCCTTCTATGTATTATCTGCACAGCTAGAATCCTACAACTAGCGTAGTGTGGTGGTGGTCGTCTTCGAGTTCGACGCGCCGCCGCCGCCGCTCATCGCGACGACAAGAGCCTCGCCAGCGTCCGCAGTAGCAGCTTCCTAGTCTTGTTGCACTCCGAGATCGTCTCCAGCCTCGGCGACCACGGCTGGTTCCTCCGCCCCATCAGCAGCGCGTAATGCCGCTTCAGCTCCGGCGTGCTGCACAGCTCCGTCGCCGTCGCCGTCGCCGTCGTCGACGGCTTCCGGCGGCGCGCACCGCCGCCGTTCTCGTCGCAGCTGATCACCTTCTCGATGAACTCCGGGAGGACTCGGATGAGCGTGGCGCCGCCCTCGCCCTTGACGTACTCGAACGGGCACTGCCCCGGCCCAGCCACGGACACCTTCTTCGACGGCGCCGGCGACAGCGACGCGAGCGCCGCGGCGGTGAGCACCTTGAAGCAGGAGAAGCGCTCGGCGGGGAGGACGAAGTACGTCCGCCCCGCCATCAGCTCCTCGCCGGCGGACACCACCGGGATCGGGAGGCCGACGTAGAAGGAGTCGGCCGCGCAGACGACGTGGTCACCGGGGAGCTCCGCCGTGACGTCCCCCGCCACGGCGCACACCCCGCCATCGTCGTCCAGCATCCTCGTCTGCCCGCCCCAGTACACCAGCTTCACCCCCGCCGCCGCCGTCGCCGGCAGGTGCATGCACGGGGAGAGGCCGTTGCCCATGGCAACTGATGTGTCTAGAACCTTCTAGAACGAGCTCGAGCTTGCAGATGGAAGAAGAGGAGAAGAGGAGATGCTTGTGTGAATTGGGGCTCGTGGTTGCGAGAGGGGAATATATATAAGCGAGCGTTGAACGGGGTTGACTTTGGAAAATTCAAAGATGGAGGAGGTAAATACTCCTACTACTACTGGTCTGGCTTGGTCAGCGGTCAAAGGCGATGGCTTTTGAGACGGAAGCGGGTCACGTGGCAGCTGCCGATTGGGCCGCGGAGGGGGAGAAGCGAGTTGCGCGTGCGCATCGTCGTTGGTCGGTGTCGCCGATCGGGTTGGATCCAACCAGATATTCAGAATTTCAGATCAGATGCACAGTAGTACAGTTGCAAGTTGCAACTAGAAGTTGCCGATTAATTTGACAGCGCCTGGCTGCAGGCTGCTACCGCACTCCAACGCCGACATGGCAGGTGTTTTTTTTTAAAAATCTTGTTCCAAATTTGGAGCTGACTGAAGAGAGTTTTATACTCCGTATTATGGGTATGAGTTCATTTATACTCCTATGTCACTTATCATCGATTTGTTTTCGGACTTATTCACTTTGTAGCTATTTTCAACCATTACAAAATTTAACAATTCCCATAATTTTAGCAAATTAACGATATTGTTAAGTTTTGGTAGGATAGACTAAGTGTGATGTTGCTAAATTATTTATACATGATCAATATTTTGTAACAAACTAAATACCATTATATATTTATCAATTTTACTGAATAATGTTATGATTTAAAATGAAATCAATCTGAGCGTGTCATCTTTTAAAATTTACGAGTTCTAAAACGAACCTAACTAACTGTATGTAACATGCTCCAGCCACAGTAAACACACAAAAGAAGAAAATGGCGTGCGAAATTTGTCCCAAAAAATCCATCTGGCTAACAGCGCACTGTTTCACTTTCACCTAGCCTGCCGACTTCCTACCGTAGACTACCATACGACTGGAACGACCAGTAATACTAACTTTTAAGTAATATATAATTTTAGCATATGCAACTCGCGTCGCTGTGATGATGCGCGTCTTAATTTACAGTTCTTGTTGCCGACTAGTACTACACTACTACTCCTTGAACCTAATCCAGTCCAATATTCATGGCACCCGTTGTCATCGTCAACACCAAGTAAACTGTGGGCGAGACGAGAGCCCTGTACTTTGATCTCCGGTGGCTGCAAACCTTTACAAGTTGTGTTCTATGATTACCGGTGCCAAGTTCAGAGCATCAGTCAAACGTAATCTGTTATTACTAGTAGTACTACTTCTCTTAGAAAATATAAAACGTAACCTGTTACGTAGTATACGTATACTTCTCTCTCCGTCCGTATCATTTTAAGTGTAGTTGTAGGTTTTCGTATCCAACTTTTGATCGTTCATCTTTTTTTTATGATTAGTATTTTTTTGTTATTAGATGATAAAACATTAATAGCACTTTATGTATACTTTATTTTTTAAAATTTTTAAATAAGATAAATGTTAAATGTTAGAACACAAAGATTCACCACTGCACTTAAAATGGAAGTAGTAAGATCAGAGCTGTTTCAATCAAAGATCAGTCTGGCCAACGCTGACGCCTTCATTCAGAAAAGTGGCTTGGCTGGCCTTCGTCAAAAGGGAGAAGCAGTCCGAGTCTCCCCTGTCTACTCTACCGGTTGTCACGTTGCGGTTTACGCAGCACGTGCAACTTGTGCAGAAACGGGCCGCGCGTGACGCAGATGCCTCGTCGTGCCTACCACGCCTTTTTTCTGGAACCGTGAAGTTGGAAGGTGACTGCAGTCTGAGTAAACACACAGAACATTTCAACTGGTCAAATCCCAGCTGCAACTGGGACACTTCTTTCCACTCTGCTATCCAAATATCCATTTCAGCTCGAAGAATAGTATCGCTTTAGATGGACGACCGTTAGCCACAATAACATTTCATTGGCACACAGATGTTGTATGCTGTCGACTTTGCTTATGACAATTACAGTACTCCCTATCCACAAATTTAAGAGATTTTGGCTGTGTATCTCTAGACAAGTGTTTGTTCAAGTACATACTAAAATCTCAGATGTTGTATGCATATGACAATTACAGTATTCACTGTCCACAAATTTAAGAGATTTTAGCTGTGTATTTGGACAAGTGCTTGTTCAGGTAAATAGCTAACTTTGCATATGACAATTACAGTACTCCCTGTCAGCAAATTTAACATATTTTGGCTGTGTATCTGGACAAGTGCTCGTTTAGGTACATAGCTAAAATCTCTTGTTCAGGTACTCAACCTAGAGCACAGTCAGTCGGTCACCTAATGGGATCATGGATAGGCCTGCTTGCCGTTCACATATGTTGCCAAGACGTGGTCCGTTATGTCGCTGCCGAACTCGTTCCATGATGTGCTAGGCAGGATCACAAAATCGGCGTACTTTCCTTCAGATAGGCTGCCCAAAACATGGTCAAGGAAGCAGGCATAGGCGGCAGATATAGTATGTCTGCGTGGAGGATAAATCCATCAGCAGGGGCACCATGACGTGTAATTGTAAACAGCAGGGTATTAGTGCAAGAGAAGGAAACAAATGAATGAGTCAATGATATCTCCATGAACGCAATATGCTAGCCGGTTTATCGTGATAGGTAATTTCACATTTAAACTACGTCAGCCATGAATAGGAGTATAGGACAAAGCTATCATTATGTATCAGAATTAAACTACTATGAATGGCATGTGAGGCCCTATTTGTCATTGTCACAGCAGATGGTATTTTGGCGAACCATTGTTCAAAGAATCGTATTTTGGCATCCTTATTTTCTAGTTATAGGTTGAAATATGTTTATGGAATGCAGATCCTAGTAGTGTGACGAGAACATTTCCATGTTGTCATGTGAAAAACAGTAAAACAGCATTACACGTTGCACGATCTAAAAACTGGCTTCATCTGTGAAGTGACTAAAGTGTTTAGGGTTTTAATTCAGAGAGTTATCCAGTGGCATTTTACTCGAGTACGAAGTTTGCAATGGCACATTCATGAACAAAAATATTTGGCCAAAAATAGACTTACGCTTTCAGAGAATCATCTAGAGATAAGCGTTCCGCAGGGATCCAAGGGACTTCCCATCCAACAGGTTTGCGGGATACTGCAGTTCGAATAGCTTGTAATGGATTAATATCTGAAACCTGTAAATGTGTACAATTAATTATCTATAGTCTACAAAATAAAAATCAAATTTTATTCTTAAGTTTCAGGAAACACATACAGGCCAATCAGAACCAAAAGCCAGATGTGCACCACCATCTAATAGTGACCGAAAAGAATAGGAGCTTCGCTCAGCTCGTTCTATCCCAATTTTCTTCCCAGCAGAATTGGCATCATCTAATATATGATCAGGCTGGCAAACAATAAGCAAATATTTCAGAAGATGAAGATCGTCGTCCATACTTTTAACTAGCGGGACAAATTGTTGCAATGTAAAATTACTTCCCAGCCTTAATAGATGATGTTTTAGAAAGTTTCACTTTTAGTTTTTGGAACCATATTAGTCTCTTGTCGGAGTAGTGTTAGACAGTTTGTACAATCAATGGATCCTTTATATAAGTAGGAACAATACTTTCCAATAATTCTTAACAAACTATTTATTAACTTAGTCTCGTTCTACTCAAACATTACCTGAATTAACTGAAGATGTCAGCTATATGATAAACAACCAAACAATTAAAATGTCATAAGGTAACAAAAATAAATTGTTTCTATAGCGGGTATACAAGATAAAGCAGTGGAAGGAGATACATGACCTGCACAGATGCAATAATACCATGTTTGCCAAAGCGCTTGGCTGCACCGGGAGCAAGGTGTTGAGCATGCTCAATCTGATTTAGCACACAACTTTCAGTTCGAATTCCATTCAGCATATTTAACTTTTTGAAAAGAGTGAGTCTGAGGACAGGGGAAAAAAAAACAGTTACGCTATACTATAAGAACATACCCGGAATCTATGATCCTTCATTCCATTCAAATCAACCACCTTCTCATACATATCGAGTAGCATATCATTGGCTTTATCTCCAATTGCATGTATGGCAATCTGAGAAAAAGATTGGTTCAACTTTCTGGATTGATGATAATCAAAATTTAAGCATGCCTGTACAAATGAAAAACATGTACCTGTAGTCCTGATTTGTCTAATTCTAATGTTGTATTGAGCAGATAATCCATGTCAACCAATTGGAGACCATAACTTCTAGGATCATCCTTGTAGTGCTGTAGAATTCATTCGACACTTATTTACAAGAATTGAAAGTTTCAGCAGTCAGAAAAGAAGAACAGGAAGTTTAATGATTGAACGTAGGTATGAATGGAAAAGTTACATCTGACATTAATTGCGAATTAAAAACTCCATTAGCAAATAATTGTAATAGTTTCCCTTCTCCATGTTGACTCTATTTGCATATAATATGGAGCAACGAGGTAGCAAATGGCCATGCTCTAACTCTAAGCTCTAGGATAAAGCAGTGTAGCCATGGTGAACACCAAAGCATTTCTGTGCACCCCAAATATACTACAATTACAACTAGGTACAAGTACTTCAGTACAGCAAATGTAGTCAAACAGTACTCTTCACTACTTACCTCATAGAATAAAGCACTGGAAGAACCCAAAGAACCATCAAGGAAAGCTTTAACACCACCTAGATGAATCCATTGACTTAACATCCGACCTTTTTCATGGATAAGGTCCTAAAATCAAGAAATGTATAAGTACAAGATATATTCACATAAAGGTAAAGCGAGTAAGATAGAAGAGCTAGGTACACATCATGAAGCGGCTTACATAAACACGAGACCATGTGGGCATGGGGAAGAATAAGCAAACTCTCATAATCATTGTTTCGACAGAATGAGCCCATTCATATATATCTGTATTAATGGAAACGTAGTACTTGCATCAAGGGGTACACATAAGGTCATAGATGGGATAAAAGCAAAAGTGGATCCATAAAAATGGTACAAAAGTATAACATACAATTTCACCAGGGATCATCTAAAATATCACTTAAGCTTTACTGCGACTTGTGCAATACAATACAAGTTTTTGCTCCAACTACAATTTTTTTTTTGGGACTGAATACAAATATTTCATATTGTCAAGTAGTGAGTAGATATACACAAAGGATGTTTCATATCTGAGTTGCATTTCTCAGAATAGCGATATAAAGCAAGTGGTACAGTATACCTGTAAAATCTTGCCAGACTTGCTTTTCTGACTTTCCAGGGAAATAACTTCCAACATCAACAACAGTAGTCACCCCCCTCATTAGGGCGTGTCTACTTGCCCTAAGAAGAGCATCTCTCCTTTCATGGATAGAGACTTCTGAGATAACATCAAACACAAGCTTCATAGCAGCATCAACTAGAAGACCGGTAGGCTCTACAAGCAATGATGTGGATCAGATAATTTGGTCACTCCTTTTACTTAATCACAGGAATGAATAATCCATATTTTGATAGTGAAAAACGGTCCTTCGAAAGAGTAATCTATATCTCATATTGAAGAATGATCCACTGAAAATGTCATACAGGGACCATGATAATATTTTGGAACTATATAAAAAGCTTCTTACCAGGTACATGTGAACACAATTCACTATATTTGCAATTTAATTAACTGACTTGAACTTATAGTTCTTTTTTGTCAGTGAGACATTTTCTGTATTTTAAACTAGCAATTTCTGCATGCTCGCTAAATTGGTAATCTTTAGTTCAAGATTAACCATAGAAAGTACTGACAAATAAAGGTAAAAAAGGGGCTATGCTAACTTTTATAAAGGTTACCTCCTTCAGTTGTTCTCATAATAGTTCCACCAACTGGATTGTTTGTGTTTTTGTTGATCCCAGCCATTCTCATAGCTAGTGAATTGGCTATTCCCATATGTCCATCCATGCGTGAAAGCCAGACCTGCAGTTCAATAAGTTACTGATACACCTTCTGTCATGGCTTCTCAAAAGAGGAGCAAGTTTGAAAACCCACAGGATTATCAGGAGATATATCATCCAACCAAGCAGCAGTGGGGTAATCACCTCCCCAAAAATCATTGTTCCAACCTCCTCCAAATATCCATTGCCCAGGATGCTTATCTGATCAGAAGATAATTCTCAGGTTCCTATCAAAATTGGTTTCTGAAAAAAATCCTAGAGATACTATGAGCAATGCATTATTTATATGCTAAAGTTTCACAAATTTGAACCGATCGAGTGTATTAAGACGATGTTTCATATCTTCAAGTAGACTAGGCACAAGGGTTTTTTTATTATTATTTTTTTGTTTATTTGCCAAGAAGGCATTTATGGATGAACTAAAGTGAAGACTGGAGTTGATCAAAATCATTCAAATATGAATAAAAATAATGTAGATCTGCAGAAGAACTTAGGTTTATATAGATTAGCAGTTTTTGAATGACATCTGTTTTTGACTGCCTTTATGCAAAAAGTGTCATCTCATCACTCATAATTCAATACACATGTACTAAATCTAATTAATTATGTTGTGTAATCATCCCCCTGATTCATGTTGTGTAAAGTCATATATCATGCTAAGAAGCAAGATAGATTTTTAAAAAAGAAAACAGAAAGGCTAAAACAGGAGAAGGAACAGTATAGTCGTTCGAAACCTTTGACAGCTTCCTTGACCCTGTTGATGAAATCATCTTTGCTTGTAACCCCTCGAAGTGGCACCCGCGCTAACTACAGGTGAGTTCACAAAACAGCATCACAAAACAAAATATACTGCAAACAAATTTACCTAATCCATTACTGTACTTGCAATATCACAGTTTGGCCAAGCCGAATGCAATGGTAGATAAGTGGTATTACCTGCAACCCACCATCAATGAAGTGCACATGGGAATCAATGAATCCCGGAAGAACAACATTTCCACTAAGATTCAACTCCATTGTGTGTCTACCCTTCAACTCCTGCATAGTGCATACATAGCCTCAAACATTCAGAGAAAAGCAAAAAGGTACAAAAACATGGTTCATTGGTGCTTATATAGCAATGAAGCAACGAACATTTTTTAAAAAAAAAATATTGCAGTTACTCTCTGAAGTCTGAACCTAAACACACACCAAAATGAGAAGGAAAAAAAAAGCAGCAACGAATTGAACACGACCTTAACAGAGTAGTATCCGCCCACGCGGAGCACGCGGCCGGCGCGTACGGCCATGGCTTCGGCGAACGGCATTGCGGGGTCGGCGGTGTAGATGGTGGCATTGGCCAGTATCATGTCAGCGACGGCTTCCCCCAAATCCCCTGAGGAGCGCAGATGCAGAAACAAATTAGTTCAGTTCACCGTGACAGATGCGTTCGTGTAAGAGTGGAAGCGAGTAGCAGAGATGAGTAGCGCGCGTACTCGACAGGTCGGAAGCAGGGCGGAGGAGGAAGATGGCGGCGGCGATGGCAACGCCGGCGGCGAGGAAGGCGCTCCGGGTGGACATGGCGCTCCACGTGACCTGCTCTGTTCGAACTTCTCTCTCTCCTCTCTCTTCCTGAAACAATCAGAATACAACCAAACCAAACCAAACCAAACCAACCAAACGTGTCAGTGTCATGGCATGGCTTCAGATAAGAAGAGAAATCAGGAGCGGTTTGGTTGACAAAAAAAATGAAATGAGATTGAATCCAGCTTACTGAATCCACAGCCTACGATTTCGACGAGGCTGCAGGCGGAAGCAATCACCGGCGGCGGCGCGGCGGCGCTCGCTCTCAAGGGAGTGGAGTTTCTGGATTGTCGCCGGAGCTGTGGGAGAAGCAGAGGAGACGGAGTCGGGGCGGCCGCCGTGTGGGTTCGCCGGAGCTCCGCCGCCGCCGCCGCCTCGTCCGGGGAGTCCGCGATCCCTCGCCGTGTGAGGCAGCCTAACACAAAAAGAGCGAAAAGAGGGGAGGTATCTTCCGAAATATACCACCGGATCGTGGCCGCACACGTGGCTATCCAACGGTTACTAGGAATCCAATCCTAGTGCTACTTTCCAAATTACCCCTGTTTTGGGTCGCCATCAATGATAACGAACTCTTATAAGTTTTTTTGAATTTCGATACAGTACCCCGGTTTTGGGTCGCCATTAATGATAACGACTGTCTCCAACAAGTGACTCATAAGGGCACCCAAACCCAAAATAAGTCTCCGATAGTACTATTTCAGCCTCCAATAGAGTACCTATACAGAAGACCCATTTTGCGTGCTATAAGAGGCATAATCTAAATCCGAGTATTCTCTCTCCTGAAGACCTATTTACATTAAGGGTTATTTTTTAAGTCTTATTGTTGGAGAAGACCAAAAATACTGTAGCGCTATGCAAACGTGAAATGGGTCTTGTATTTTAGGTTTCATTGTTGGAGATAGCCTTATAAGTTTTTTTTTAATTTCGATAAAGTCTACGGGATACTATTTTGACCACTAATATCTACTCCCTCCGTCCCATAATATAAAGGATTTTTAGTTTTTGCTTGTAACGTTTGACCACTTGTCTTATTCAAATTTTTTTGAAATTATTATTTATTTTATTTGTGACTTACTTTATTATCTACAGTACTTTAATCACTACTTTTCGTTTTTTATATTTGCAAAAAAAATTGAATAAGACGAGTGATCAAACGTTGCAATCAAAAACTCAAAATCCCTTAAATTGTGGGACAGGGGGAGTATAATAGTAAGATGTTTTAAATAAAAATGTTACATATTATAAAAGTTACATCAGTTTTATATGATTGATCTTTTTTATTTTTTACTATTAATAATCAAAGTAAAAAAAATGTTTGATTTGTTATTATTCTAAAAATATTTATATTTTATAACGGAGGGAGTAGATTTTTTTTTAAATCCCCCGATTTTACCATCTCGTACGGTTTTTTTCCTTCCTATTATGAGGAATTTCACTCTTATCATTGAGCTTAATGGATTCAAGAGACATGATGAGGTTAGGAGACACGCCATACCTATACCCGCAATGGCTAAATGTTTCTACTTAAATACCAACACTCGTCGCGGGTACAAAATCGTCCCTATACCCAGTTCATGCGGGTAACGGGTACCCAATGGGTACCCATACCCATATAATTGACTTGTAGCATTTATTTTGTATTGTAATTAGCCATATTTGAACTGCAAATCATCAATATTTTTTTTCTGTAAAAAATTCTATAGCCACATTACATAATTAAGAAATCAAATAATAATTTCATATAACTAGACTAGAACAATGCTTAAGATGTGAAAGGAGTTTTATGTTATGATTTAATAGTAGTTGAGATTTATCTTATTCATAGTTTTAGGCTCAATCTACGGGATTTTTCACCCACAGGTTTGTGGGTATGGGTGGGTAAAGAATATAACCATACCCACGTACCCAATGGGTAAGAATTTTCGCCTATCAATAGACCCATAAGTATAAGAGTTAGAACATAATTAGCTTCTAATAGAGTAAAAACCCATCGGGTATCAGGGTCATGGGTCCCCATTGCCATTTATAGGAGAAATTGACACTGTAGTCAAGATTGAGGAATAGCATCAAGCTCGCTCGCTTATTTCACAGTCGACAAACAACCTGGTCATTGCAGCCGGTAGTTTACAGGAGCATATATACGTCTCTGCTTTATTGCCTCACTTGCCCATCTCAGACGGATCAACAGGGTAGCTGAGAGTGGTAGATGTCATGGCACGACGACGACGGCAGCAACGGGCACAGCCTCACCGAGAAGGCGTATCTCGCCGGCGGCAGCAAGTACTGCTCGTGCACGCACGGCGACCAGCTGTCGTCCCCTCCCAGCCCCATGTGCTTGTGATCAAGATGCACCTGCAACACAAACCCAATTTCTCTCTGAAATCATCGCCAAATCACAATCAAAAGTTGTTATCGGTACAATTCTATCATCATCTTAATGTAATTCGTTGAGTTCAATAAAGCTTTTGTTTATCTAAACACAGTGCAAATGCGAACCCACCTCGATGTCGTCTCCCTTGACGAGCTTGTGGTTATGCGTCGCGCGGTCGAGCTCCGCGGCGCCATAGTAGCTGGCGCTCACCTGCATCGGCGGCGACTCGCCGTAGGCCGACGCGAAGAGGCCGAACCCGTCGGCGTCCTGGAGCGCCACCCACCGGACGTCAGCCCGGCCGCCGCACTCGCCGGGGACAATGTACGGCACGTGCAGCTCGTCGACGCCGCTCTCGTACACGCCGACGTGCGCGGCGGCCTTCCGGTCCGGGTAGCACTCGAATGGCCCCCTCCCGTACCATTTTGCACGGCTCAGGGACTTGTCGGCGTTGAACACGACGCCGACGCGAGGAAGAGGAGGCAGGTCGTTCTTGGGGCTCACCTCGTAGTCCAGGATCACGTCGCCGGAGTCGTAGATCCGGCCGCGCATCTGCACCCGGAAGAGGACGGACTCGGATTCGTCTGAGAGAGAGGTTTCATCAGGCTTTGGTTGATTCCCAGGAAGACCGTAGTAGATGGTGGAGATCTCGACGGTTTGGTCTGGCAATTCCTTCAGAGAAAACTGGCTGCTGTAGAACGAGATGTTGTCGAGAGAAGCTTCTCTCCATCTTGAAACATAGGGCTTGGTGTAGAAGCCTCCCTTGTCGTTGTCAGTTGGTGTTCGCCAAAAGCATGGGTGTATTCCCTTGCTCATAAGCTCAATGTTGTTGACCTACGGTTCAGAGGAAGTATAATGAGTTCCAGATTTTGATAAGGAAATTAAAACTGACAGTGTATATAAACAGTCTGGAGCAAATTTCAAAACTTGGCTAAGTTTGACAGAGTAACAAGACTCCGCAGAAACTGCCGATGGGAAAGCTCGTCTGCAGTTACTTTCAGTTCAAACAGAAAACTAGTACATCAACAATTTTGGAGTTCAGACAAATGTAGCTATTGCGGATTAAACCAAACCATAAAAGGGAAAACAGTTCGTTAGATTGCAAAGAAAAATTGCTTAGATCAAAAAGGTATTACTTCCTAGATCAAAGATGATCAAACAAATATGCAAACAGAACAATAAAGCAAAGGAAACCCATCCATTTTAGTCTCACCTTCCAACTATCGATTGTTCCTGAAATACTGTTTACTTTGATTTGCCAGGCATTACTTTTGCTGATGAGTACATGATCACCAACACGTTCCGAAACCAAAGAGCTCCTGGGCAGTGCTATCGCCTGAAAATGGTAGTTAGCTGGAAGAATAAGACAATTCAGAAGAAGTAGCAACCAAAATGAGGTTGAAGAACGTACATGAGGGACAAAGCCTTTTTTCGGAGGTAAACAAATTTGTGCTGAAGCCAAGATATGGCCATCTTTGGCCCATTGTGTTTGGTACCTCAATTTCACGTTAATGGACAAAAATATTTCTTTTACGACACAAGTACTCCAAATAGTAAACCAAGGTGATGACTTCATATTGATCAGATGAGTACTCTGTGGTGCTATGGATGGGACATTAAGTGAACCAGAGCCCAAAGCACAGCCATCTCCTTGAAGTAGCCAACTGAAGTCCAAAGCTTCTGTTGTCTCAAAAAAATGTACGTTTTCAATCTGCATGATAATAATAAATCATTTAGATCAACTACGTATGCAAGAAAACAGCTCAATAAATGGCAACCAGAGTTACCTTAAGCATGTTATCCATCATTGTTATTTTGATAGGCTGGTATAAATATTTAACTTCTGCAAAACCAGAGTCAATTCAGTAATTAGTATCACATCTAGAAATAGGAAATAGGGATCTTATGTTCACAACATATATTAACAAAATAAACATTGTATTTCGAGTTACCATGCACAGCTGGGTGAATTGTCCGATCAGGCCATACAATGCCATTAAGACAAAAATTCAAGTCATTTGGAGTGTCTCCAAAGTCGCCACCATATGCCCAGTTTTTAGATCCATCAGCATCTTCCTTTAGTAAACCCTGAAATGAACATTGGAGAATAATATTGTGAAAGTAGCTTACAGCATTTATAAACAGGTAGAAGTCAACGGTCAATTTTTTTGGCACTTCACTTTTGTGTACCATTGTTCTATATTAGCTTGACAGCCTTGACATTGACTTATGCTATGATAAAAGTCTTATGCAAATGCAACCTCTATGTAGCAGAAGACAAAGAAAGTTAACTTTTACGGCCATGTATCTATTTTATCGAATAAACAAAGAATCAAAGAACCTGGCCATAACTTGATTTACCGCTCCACCTAGGAAACCTCGCATATGGATCCCTTGCAGTCTTAAACAATAAACATGCAAACAGAAATTCCAGGGGATGGCATGCTAAAATGCAAATAAAAGGGGCTTAAGAAGTGAAAATTGTTTGTAACCTGATCGACCCAGTCCCATATAAAACCACCTTGGAGTCCAACAGTGTTGTCTATGGCCATCCAATATGCATCAATATTTCCATTACTGTTTCCCATAGCATGTGAATATCTTGAAAACAAAATGGAAAATTTTCTTTAACATTTCTGGAATTTTAATACAAAAAAGGGGAACAAGTTAACATGTGAGGCTGCATTGAACATACTCGCAAAGAATGAGGGGCCTATTTTCAGAAGGGTCTTGTGCGATCTTAAGAATATCCCAGACACGCATGTACATTGGGCATACAATATCAGTGGAGGATGTTCTAGAACCACCTCCTTCATAATGGATGGGCCTTGTCGGGTCCTTTCCACGAATCCAGCCTACAAGAATGTGATCTCTTAGATGCGTCAAAAAATATCATTAACTGAACTATCACAGTGAAGAATATTTTACCAGACATGGCTGAGTGATTTGGTCCATACGAAGATTCATTTCCCAAGGACCATACTATAATGCATGCATGATTCTTGTCTCTCTCCACCATACCAACAACACGATCAAGCATAGCACTTGCCCAGAA